AGAAAAATCCGATTATCAATTTCGATTACGCCCATAGGATTTTTTAATTTTAATCAATTTTAATCCCTAAAATTTTTCACTGGGTAGTCCTTACGAATTTTAAAATGAAATATTTTATGAAACATCGATCAAGAATATTAATAAAATTTTGCTGATAGAAATTGAGACAATTCGGTTGTATTTCACATATTAATCCCACAAGAATTTTGTTAATCGTTTTTTCTTTCAATAAAATCTTGTATTTCTGTTTCTATTTATTCACAGATATTTTTGTTTCAATTAAAAGATCATTTAACGAAGATACGATAATATCTTTTACATTGTGTATCAGTTTATGAATTTGTGATACTTTCCTTTCATATATAGTTAGTGTTCATTGACTAAATTCTAAGGCTATATTCTATTGATTTTTCCTCTTTGTAGAATAAACTCATTTGATAAGAATATTGAGCTGTATGTAAATGGTTAGTAAACAGAATTATTTCACAAATTTTCAATGCTTTTTGATAAAAATCAAGTGAGGATATTGTAAAGAATCATCAGGATTTTCAAAATATATTCTAAACGTCTCGTATAGTGTTGCGAATAGACATATGCAAACCTTAAAGGTTTAAAAGTACGTGCAATTTCAATATGATTTTCCGTCAACATTTTCTTTTGTTGGTATTCATTTATTTCTTAGTAAACACTATCAATGTTAACTAAAGTTCGAAACAGATCAAAATATAATTTTAATAGATTTGCATATTGAAACTATTCTGCATGACGAAAAAGTATTGATGTCTTTGTGATTATGATCAGTAAAACTATGTTCTAATCTCATACTGTAATATATTTTGAATCGGTCTGCATGATCATAAAAAATTGCAGTTAAAAGTTCTTCAAAATAATTGACTAATTGTTCATATGCACTTAGGTCATTTAGTAGGATTCAAAAAAGGGATGTAGAGTATTGTTCTGATATTCGTCGGAGAAAATAAAGTTCGTATTCTAGATAAATTTTTCAGTTCATAGAAGAATAGTTACATTTGAATAAGCCAAAATTAATTATCATAATCATATTTTTATTTCGAAAATCTCAAATATTGTGCTCAAATCAAATAGAATTTCTTTCACATCTAAAAACCAATATTTACCAGTTAAATCTACCAAAATAATATCCGATGAAAAACTTCGATCAATACCAATTTAAAATAGAACACTATTTATTTGATCATTGTGACTGCAATATGCTGAAATTAATCGATTATGATTAATTTACTTTAGTTTCTCAATTTTGATTTAAAAATAATTACATGGAAATTTATCTTATAAAAACAAAACAATAAGAAAAATTGCAATGATTTAACTTTTTGTTTGACAAAGAATATTCAGTAATAATAAAAGATTGTTAGCATGAATAATGAAATAATGGATATTATTTAGTGAAGGAATTATAACGTTGAATATTCTAGACATATATTTAATATTTTCTAGTGGCTGGTGATATCAATTCATTATTAAAAATTGTTTCTTTTATTTGTAATTATTAAAGACCAATAATAATCCAATAGAAAGCGACGATTAATTTGTTCAACGAGGTTACCAAATGTATATTGAAATGAAACATCAAATATATAATAAGACTTTGATGAATATCCGATTGTTATTATATAAGATGTGTATCTTTTTTTCGTCTTCATCTATTCTCAGTGACAACCTAATATAAATACATATATGCCAAAAGGAAAGAAGAGAAGTTGTCGATAATCTATCATTGATAGATACCATTCTCTAATGTGATAAGTAATTTCTTAATTTACTTTCTACGTGATAGACTTGAGTGATGCAACTGATAACATCATTAACATCCATTCTATTTCTTCTTTTTTTAACTATAAACGTTGAATCGATTTATTTAAGAGATCGATTTCGAATATTTGTTGGAAAAGTTGCTTCTACATTTCATGCGAATTGGCGTCAACATTATCTTAGTGAACGTCCATTTGTTAAAAATCGTTTTAAATTAACTAAAAATGGAACTAATTATAATTCATCTGATTTTATTTATCCAATGATTCTTACTGTTGGTTCATGTCTCGTTCATCGAAATCTCAAAGTAGCTCGTTCACGTCACAATTCATCGTTAACTTATATTGATATATTAAATATGGATTATGATGAATTACCTACAGATTGGGCATTTGAAAATAAAGATACTGCAAGAGTCGCTTGTAGACTAATTCTAAAAGGTATTCGTCAAAAACTTATATTTAATAGAAATTTTATCGAAACAACATCAGAAAAAATTCATCAATCATGGTTAAAACGAAATGCACATCGAATAACAAATCAATTGATATTACCCTATAAGCATTTACCGGAAAATGAAAAAGACAAAGATCGAAGAGCTATACTAATAGCTTGTCGTTTATTTAATGAACTTCATTTGTATCGTCATTTCAAAACGACTCCTATTCATTTAACTGAACCTTCTATTGAATAAAATATAAAGTTTACATCTTAAAAAAAAAACACAAATGATCACGTTTTTCCAATGTTAAAGATATAGATATTGAATTTCATAGAAATATTAAATGAGATCTTTAACAATAGTAAAACTCATTATGAAAATTTCCGTCGTTAAATATGATTTGTTCAAATAAATTAAAAGTTAAAAAGAATTATATGAAATCAAAAACTCCATTGGTTTAGGACTTTTTCTTTTTTCTTTTTCTGAATATCGAATGTTTATTAACAATCTCTTTTTCTTAATATACAAGATTTATTATACTTGAAATGTTTGACTAATAATTATTTCTATGAAAGACTTTTTATGACAAATTCTTTCGGAAGAATAAACAAACACAAATACATTCCTATTACAAATTATTTCTCTGAAAAAAATAGTAAAAACACATTACTAATAATTGATTTAACATGGTCAATATAGTAAAGTATTATGTAGATTAGTAGAAGGACCTAGATTTTCATCAACAACTCTTCCTTATTCATTTACCAATAGTTTATTATTAATATTGTCAATAACTGTCTTAAATTCTATTCATGAATTATATTTAAGAAATTTCACCTTTTATTTATTCACATTCTAAATACTTAAGAGAGACCGCATGAGAGGGTCGAGCATTGGGCCATAGGGCCATTTTATGAAAAAAATTAAAATATACTTTTTTTTATATCAATCGATTCCTCATACAAAACTGGGATTATGAAAAAATTTTTAGGCTTCTAT